AGGTGTCATGTGAGTTCCATCTTCAAGGAGCATCATCAGGTTGGTATGCAGGACGGTTGGCCTTGACCAACACCAAGCACTAATCTCCAGCATGCGCAGTACACGGTGTAGCCTGCACAATCAAGTCATTTGACCTTATACCCACAACCAAAATAGTTATAGAAGTAGAGGACCTGGTGACCAATCAGAAGGGCATGGTCCCACCGGCGACCTACCAGGCTAATAAGATTGCAAGATTCCAAGTGCTCTTTTTCAGTGTGCTTTAAAATGTCCACATAGATGGTATTCTATTAAAATATGAATGAAAAATAAATTTTATGCCTGAACACCTTAGTTCAAATTCAGAGTGAAAATGATATGGAGAAAATGTAATGAGGATATGTCCTATACAAGTAGTTTGTGGGATTTCTTTGTGCTATGGCAAGCAAAGTTGCAGATATGCCTAACATGACCAAACATCCGTTAATCTTTCATGAAATAGAGAGAAAAATTCTGTACAATTCACAGGTAATTCAACAGTAGCAGGGAAGAATGCTCAAGACTGAAGTTCACTGAAGCATGACCTTTGTTGTCATCTCAACTTTAACACCCAAAGGGCTCTCAAGGATTAGTATCATATTTTGTCAACTTCAAAGTGCTGCTATTAAAGAGAGGCTCTTCATGGCCTGCAATCATACTATCTAAAATAATACTCTTCCTGTATGTGCCTTCCTATAGCCTAAAACAGAAACCTTGTTCTCACCCCTTCCCATGCTGAGAGGAAATGACGAATTGTGTAGGAGCAGACATTTTTAGGGTAACCCCTCAGCTTGTGAATACCATCCACAATGTACCAAAGACATTTTTTGTTCTCCACACCTTTAAATATATTAATATTTTGAATGAATGCATTTTAACAGTTTTCTAATCAATCTGTCATTGTTCTATTTACTTTTAATGTTCATATATTATATTTTAAATAAGACTTCTATTTTTAAATTCCAAATTACGTTTTCAAAGTGTGGATTTTTTTAAAGTGCTTGAAGCAGATTTGCTTGCAACACAGCCAAAGAGAAAACCCTTGAATATAAGTAAATAATTGCTTTCTTATAATCTTTTAGCTTCCAAGAAATAATAAAACATGTTATAAGGTTTAGTCTTTTAAAAATATAAGCAAGTTCTTATCTCATCTTTTGGCTAAATAAAACTCCTATGTAATTACTTTCTATTTAATACATGTGCAGTATGCTGCACATGTATTAAATATTTAACAGCTTGTAATCTATATATATATATTTCTAAAGCTTTTACTCTTGACCCCCAAATGCCTAGAATCTAATGTATACATGAATATAACTATCATTTGGATCCTCTTCAGTTAAGATTGCTGGATGCTGTTCCTATCACAAACACATTACAAGACACTTTACATCTCAACAGTAGCAGCACTTGGCTCAGTTTGGGTTTCAAGATTAAGATAATTTGGACCTGTTTAGTACTTGGAAGGCAGACTACTAAAGAGAACTAGAGTTTTAAAGACTGGATTGAGAAATTTTGGGGGGAAACATTATGATAGAAAGCATACAGTTGCCAAGAAATCTGAACTAGTAATTAATTAAGAGTCAAATTTGATACAAAGAGCTTTTGAAGTCAATCTACCTCTATTTTATAGAGATACCCTGAGTCACCTTATAGGTGACAGGCACATACCCGTATGTTTTGGAGTATAAGACACACTCCCCCCCAAATGTGGGTGGAAAAGTCTGTGTGTCTTATACAGCGAATAGTGCGGCTAGGGAAGAAGGGGGGGTTGGTGCCGGTGCTGATCACCTGTTCTAAAATCGGCTGCCACTGTGGTGAACAGGCAATGGTGGTGGCAAATGGGCCATGGCAAATGGACGGCGGTAACAAACAGGCCGCAGTAGCAACAAACAGAACACAAGGAACAGGCCGCAGCAATGCTGAAAAGGCGGCGGTGAATGGGCTGTAGTGAACAGGCCATGGTGGCAGCAAACTGGTCATGCCAAACGGGCCATGGCAATGGCAAAAGGGCCGCACCAAATGGGCCACGCCGAACAGGCCCAATGAATACCGGATGGATGCTGGGAGGCAGAGGCAGATTTTTTTTTCTTGTTTTCCTCCCCAAAAACTAGGAGCATCCTATACTCTGAAAAATATGGTATATACAATTACTCTTTAAGTGGGGCTATCATCAACCGAAGGTCATTTGTGCATATTCTCAGATTAGTGGAACAATTTATAATAGCTTGTTTATGAGTCAAAGATTCAGTCTGAAATTGCCATAGCTGAGACACTTGTGATACAAGAGAGTCTGGTTTTCTTTAATAGGGATTAAAGATTAAATAATTTCATATTTGAGATAAGAAAAAAGGATAGTTGGTCAAACCGTTGAAGAACCACTGAGTTATTAAAAACAAAATGCCTTCATATATTATGGCTTAAAATGTAACCATCACCAACCTCAATTAAGCAAATTACAGCTTTTTGGGGTTTGGGTGTCGTAAAGTTATGATTACTTCAGAACCTGTTTAGTATAGTAGTTAAGGTGCTGGCCATATTGTCTAAAGTTCTGTGTGTTATTGGAGGAGTTGTAGATGGGGATGGCTGATTAGGTAATGCCGAGGTTCCCCCCCCCTTTGCCCAGCTCATATCAATTAAGTTAAGAATATCCCACTGCTTCATAAGCTATCTGCTACCAGTTTAAGCAATGTTCCAACTTACTTTGCTGCTATCTATACGGAAATATATATATAAATATAGTCCCATAGAGAGATCTAAAAAAGGTACAGGAGGAGGCTTATATCAGGAAGAAAGGAAAGAAGGGGGGGCAAATACATCAACACAAAAAAAATCAAACCTCAAAGAGAAGAGAATAAAAAAGAAGAAAGGTTCAGCTCGAAGTGTTCCCTTTCAAGTGTCCAACTCCAGCTCCAAAAGAAGAAAAGAGAAAACAATGCGCACAGTGGATATAATATTGACTGTCTCAAGTGGAGCCTTAAGCCTCCTCCTATAACAGCACAAAAGTTTTCCAAAAATCTTGGGAGCAGGCAGAACAAGTCCGCTGATTACTATCAGCTATGCCTCAGGGTAAAAAACTTCCCTCTTCTCTGTGAGCCCAACTCACTTTCCATGGTTGTTGTTATGGGGAAAATGGAAGGAGGAAAGAGTATTATGTATGTATATCTCTTGGTTATTTATAAAAATAATAAATCAGGATAAAAATCAAGCTAATTAATTAATCTTAAAAAATGAAAGTTCCTGAATTCCTCACTTATGCTGTTTGTGAAGGAAGAACAGCAATCCCTAAGCTGCCCCTCCTGAGCCCTTTATGGTATTTGTATCTCTAACTTACCTTATTAAAATCATATAAAATGGCAGATCATATTCCATCCCAGTATAAAATTAAGACATTGTTTCAAGCAGTAAAATGTTTGAGTCTTGCTACAGTGTTATGCAATATTAAGCATTAAAAAGCGGTGAAATGGCAAATCACTGCTAATCTTGGATTTTCCAGCGGGGAATTTTCATCTTTAATTTTCCAACATGATACTATGCATATTTGCATTTCTTGAGGGGATTTCCAACCACATGCATCAGCTGTGAACAGTTTGTAGTTCTGCCCTTATGTTGCAATCCTAGTTCCTATTTCTATTTTTGAACTATTTTGTGAGAAAAAATGTTCAGACTTCATCTATCCCTTCTTTTTAACAAAAAAAAAATACTACATGAAGTTAATCAAGAAACAAACCAATTTGAATTGATGTTATTATATAGTGCAAACAATTCAAAAAATAATTGTACTGTTCAGATGCACTGAATACTTTTTATCTTTATACTGTATGTATTTCCTCAAATCTAGATATATATTAAAACCAAATCCACTCACTCATCATGAAATCTCCAAAATTGTAAAGCCCATAAACTTGAAATTTGGCACATGTGTTCCTCTTGGCTTCTAGATACTTGCTAAGAAAGGATTTGTATCCAAACTCAAGGCGGCAGAAGAGATATTCCTTTATGAGTTTCAGTCACCGACTACCAGAATCAACAGATTATGAACTGAATTTCTACTGCATAATGTCCCATCCCCAACTCACTTCTTACACTGACCTCCTCAGTTCACACAAATCTGTCTCTTCTACTGTAACACCAGCTAAAGGAAAAAGAGGGAAAATGCCACTAGCACCCCTGGCTTTTTGGTCTATGTAGCCAGGCTAATAATTTTCAATAAAGCATAGACATATTAAATATATATTTAGTGCAAGTGTACATTCAGTTGCATAAGCTATTGTCCCCTTATGCAAACCATTTTTTTTCCTTGCTTAATTTGTCAGAATCAAAGCATCTACATTTCATTCCAGTTGCTCCTCTTTTGGGGATGAATTCAGGTAATAAATCCAGCTGCAGTTAACCACCCATAAACCCCAATGGAAATACCTGATCTTAGGCGGAGGATCAGCATCTTCAAAATAATCTCACCACTACAATCAATGATATCAATTCATTTTGATAGCCAGTGAGGAGGGCTTGGGTTATCCCAGGAAATGGTGATACAGCTGAGCTATGCAAAAACTTCCTAGTGAAGAAAGGCTCTAAGGTATGGTGACCATACTTTATTTGAAAAAATAAAAGACAAGGGGGGGTGGGGGCAAAGTGAAAAAAAATCAAAGGAAAAAAGTTTATAATTTTGCTTTACAAAGCAAAATTCAACAGCAAAACCAAGTAAAACTTTACAAAACAATCATTTTAATAAAAATGTCTAAAACAGTATATGTTCAGTATATTTATTTTAAAAACACAATTCAATTCTCAGAAAGATGTAATAAATGATCCAAAGGTAGAATATTGTATATGCTTTGCGGCTGCAACTGGACAGTGTTGGAATAATATTGTAATTATGTTGCAGTTAAAGATGAGTTAAACATTTCTCATGAGCTGAGGATGAGATGGAGTCTCTGTTCTAGGATGTGGCAGAAATAGATATTTCCAAAGCATGTTTGTGCTGCGTTTAAATAAAAAGGAGAAAAGACTTTAAAGGACTTTTTTTTTTAAATTATTATGATTAAATATGCAGATGCTTGCTCTATCTTGCATGATATTGAAAACAGGAGCGAAAACTTAGTTAATGTACTTCCTCTTTATGGAATGAAGTAAATTAATATCCTTTCTCTTCATGTTTTGTTTTTTAAAACAAGGAACCTTCCTGATTTGAAAGACAGTAATCTCAAGGAGAGACATTGATAAGGTATTCTGTTTTTTTGTTCCACTAACTTAACTATGCGAAAGACCCAGCTCACTCGAGGTTTGCCAGCATTACCACTCCTTTGCACCTACATTTTCCTCAAGCAATGTTGTGATTTGCTTTCTACAAGGTTAGATATAAACAATCCCAAGATGCAATCCTTCTATCCTCTTCACCCTAATCTGCAAGACACACAGCCTCCCGTCACCTCCATCCTCACTTTATTTGCTTTAAATACCAGAAAGACAATTTGCACACCACTTTATTTGCTTTAAATACCCAGAAAGATAAGAGTTGGTGATGTGGCCCAAGGGAAAAAAAAACATCAGGTTTTGCAGCAGCTACCACGCTGTTCCTTCGCCCCCACTTTGGAAAGGAAGCCAAAGGTAGCACCTATAGAAGATTTATTTATTTATTTTATTTATTTTGTCAAACATGTATGAGATAACATGTATAAATATAAACATGGACATGAACACAGGAAATGGGCATGAATAAATGGGGACAGCAGAATAGGGACAGTAGGCACGATGGTGTGCACACCCTCTTACAGACTTCTTAGGAATGGGGTGAGGTCCACCGCAAGCAGTTTAAGGTTAAAAGTTATGAGGATTTGAGGATGTCAGGTAGTGCATTTCAGGCACTGACCACTCTGTTGTTGAAGTCATATTTTCTGCAGTCGGTTTTGGAGCGGTTTACCTTGAGTTTGCATCTATTCTTTGCTCCTGTATTATTGCCGTTGAAGTTGAAGTAGTCATCGACAGGTAGGACATTGTAGCAGACAACTTTGTGTGCTTAGGTCAGGTGACATCAGGTGGCGGCGAAGGTGGAGGGAAGGCAGAGCGCACTTGGGGCGGAGCCGCTTTGGTTTTCTCCTTCCGTAACTACCGAAAGTGGGATTTCCCTGATTTGTTAGCGCGGCGGCCCCGCTGCCTCAGTTGTTCAGAGACCAAGGTTCACCTGGAGCTCGAGAGGAGGGAACAAGGCAGGGAGGTGGAAAGAATGCAGTAAACTCCTGGTAATGGTGGAAACGACGTGCAACAAAGCGAAGGCAGAAAGCGAAAGCGTCCCAGAGTGACGAAGCGTTGCCAAGAAGTGGGCGCTCCTGAGGAATTCACCGCGGGGACCCGAGGGATGCACGTCGTGTAGAGGACTCCTTATTCCGACGGGGGCGAGCCAAAGCCTGGACGGCGATCGGCGATGGTAGCCGAGAATGGTCACGACGAGAAGCTGGTGGTGTCTAATTTGCAGCTGCGTCTTCTGGTCAAGTAAGGAGGGTAAAGGAGGAGCGAACCTAGATTGGAAAACGCGCGTTTTTTCGCAGCCCTTAGAAGTAGGCGGAGGGCCTCTGGAAAAGTTCGGCGGTCTGTCTCTGGCCGAAAACGGCGGCAGCGTTTGCCCCTCCTCATGTATTAAACGCTGCGCTCGATTGTTACCCTCGATCGCGAATGGAAGGGAGCGGGGTAGGTCCTTAGGTGGCTTGGCAGAACTTGGTTGTTGAAAGTACTGCTGGTTAAACATATTGTTGTCCCCCTAATACAGTGTTTCTCAACCTTGGTGACTTTAAGTCCTGTGGACTTCAACTCCCAGAATTCCCCAGCCATAAATACCTTTATACAATGCTATTATGAATGTGAGGAGACAGTTAATCATTGATTGGAGTAATGACTAATTTCTTTCAGAAATTGTCTTGTGGTATTGAGTGAAAGGCTGCCTTTAAGTATATAATCATTTGGTGAACACCTTTTAGAGACCTTTTCAGCTAGGTGGTGTAAAATTATGCTTTGGTCCATTGCTGAGTGTTCAGATTTGACGCAGCCTGTGCAGGGGCCAAAATATTATCTGATAACATCCAATCCAATGGTTTGGAGTGTGAGAATCTAACATATAGTGACTCATTTGTTCACCAGATTACTCACCAAGACATTCAAACTGATGGAGCCAGAGTTTCCAATCTTCTTCCCCTTAAGTGGAAGTCCCCTCTCCATTTCCCAACCAATCTAGCTTCTGGAAATATCCCTAAATATTCCTTTAATACCTTATGTCCTCTCCCCAGGAGACTTTTTCTTTTAATGGGTAAAAAATTATTTTTACCCATTAAAATGACAACAGGCAGCCTTTCCTACGAAAGAAGAAAGTAAAATCCCTCTGCCTCTTTCTACAATGTGGTCAAGGCAGTTTCAGTGTCAAAAGTAGGTGAAACCCCAACTAAGAAAAATTTAGAGTATTTGTTCAAATAATTTCATCATCATTAATTCAAGCATGTTTCCTAGAGAAGGAAAATTAGTTTCTACATTTAGTTCAAATATTCTGATCCAATGATTGGGAGTCAGACAAGGAAAATGTTCTCTTCTATCACCATATTTACTGGATAAAACTCCTCTTTCATACAAAGAAGAATTTATAACATGTTTAGTTAAATGGAAAAAGCCATGAGGTAAAAAAGGGCAGAAAAACAGGTGCTTTACCCCCTACTTTGTCCTCATTGTCAGGATTTAAGGACTGAAAGTATGCCAAAGATGCCCAGAATGTATTTTGCTTATCTTTGCAGAATGAACAGCAGAAACAGGCATAGCAATATGATTGATTTCATCACTGAAATATCTAGCTAACATCTCAGCACCTCATCAAAGCTTTCATATGATTTAGCTTGGTTGGATCTCAAAATGCTTGGAATTATATAGAAGAGTTTTGCTATATAACAGTGGAATGATCCTCAAAAAATTATTTTTCCCATGCACAATAGTACAACTAATAATGAAATCTTATCAGTAGTTGATCAGATTTAAAACATGTTTTTTCCCCTCCATCTTTCCCAATTCATTTTTTAATTTCAGTTGGGATATACCGTATACCAAAAAACAAAATAGACTCTGGATAGTAGGATAGGAACATTTAGAAACAAATTGTATAAAGATCCATGTTCTGCTAGTATTTCCTTTGGTGAAAACAGGTGCTACTCTGTTTTTTCTTGGGCACAATATATTCATTTCTTTCCCAGAGAAGAGCATTCCTATCTGCTGCAGCAACAAAGATAAAAGGGTTTCAAAAGGTTTTTTTTGCCAGTGGCTTTACAATCTAACCTATCTGGATTTCTATTTCCATATTCATTTGGTAGCATTTGAGTAATGGAAAAACCAGTTTCCAGTCATGCGGTTCAGGAGGTTGCTAAACTTATGAGAATTTTGTGGTGCTCAGCCTCTGAACTGAAAGACCTCAGGAATCCTATTTTCAGGAATCTTCAAAATGGCAATATGATTCAGAGTTTCGACACCATGTTTATTCTTTACGAACAAGCTGAGACTTGTAGTTGAAAATTTTGGGAAATTACATCAATATAAATAATTATCTATATATGTTGAAACATAATATATGTGAATTGTTTGTCCTGTCAGTGAACGAATATCAAAACCATGCATTGAACAGTATTTCTTCTTTGCATATTACAGTACATGCAATTATCCAGGAGCCTCAAAACATACGATTAAATTCAGTTATGCTTAATAGTGTTCTCCTGTGGGATCCATCAAATTTTTCTGAAGGAAATGTAACTTATACAATTCAATATAAAAGGTAAATGTGGTAAGAATGGATAATTTTCATAATATATATGAAAAATGTAATTTGTTTCTTTTATGCTATTCACATGTCCTTATACAGCTGAAAATATATTCTAGTTTATTCTCTCAATTTATCCATTTATATGGGAGGAAAATTACTTTGGATAACAACTTATAATATGAAATTTAAATTATATTGTGCATATATTCCAAAAGTTATGTAACCTTTTTAAAAAGAATCCGGTGATGGTTTACCACAAATATTAATTTTAGGATAATCTGTATTCCAGAATTGGATGAATTTTACATGTATATGCAACCTTAAAACACAACATATCATCAGGTATATTATCAAATATATCAGGTATTTTATGGAGATATAATTATGATGTCTTCACATGCAACCTTTTCCGATTGCTTCTTTTACATCTTTTTCTTAACATATCTGCTAAGGATGAAACAACAAAGTATAAAATGCCTTGTAATTGAAATTGATAGAAACTGTGTAAGGAACTACTCCATTGCCTCAACTTTTTGACATTAAAATTAATTTAATATTTCTACCCAATCTATCTTAATATATTATAAGAAGCTGGTAATGGTAAAGCATCAAGTAAAGTGTGGAAAAAGAATCAGTCTGGTGTAGTGGTTAACACACCAGGCTAGAAACCAGACTGGGCTCTAGTCCTGCCTTAGAAACAGAGCCAGCTGAGTGGCCTTGGGCCAGTCACATTCTTTGAGCCCTAGGAAGCAGTCAATGGCAAACCACTTTTGAAATTCACATTCATCCTTAACCCTATCTCATCTTATTTTACCAGACACATTGCATTCACATTATTTTTATGTTCCTTCTAACAATCTAATTACCATTCGCATGCAACAAAGTGCAGGAAAAATACATTATTATTTACAGATATTTTATTTATTTTTACAAACATAAGTTCTTTACATCTCACTGTGTCTTGTAAATCTCAAAATGTTTTTGTCCATTTCTTTTCCTTAATAAGCATTTTGCCAAGGCATAAAAATTTACAATATCTACTCGCTGCAGTTCATTGCACATTATCATATACATTTATTTGTTCATGCCATTTTTCAGCCAACATAATTATCTTTTTATACGTTAATTTACAGATCCATAATACATATTGGATTATATCATACTGTGTTGTTTAGTTGCTAAATCTTGACAACCCTCTGGACCACAGCATGCCCCCTTGTTCTCCTGTAGTTTGCCCAAATCCATGTCCCTTTGCTTTGATGACACTATCTAACCATCTTGTCCTCTACTGTCCCCTTCTCCTTTTACCCTTAATCTTTCCCAACATCAGGGTTTTTTCCCAATGAATCCTTTCTTCTTATTTGGTGGCCAAAATAGTTGAGCTTCAGCTTCAAAATTTGTCCTTTCAAAGAACAGTCAGGGTTGATTTCCTATAGGATTGGCTGATCTTATGCTATATACCGAGTATAAATCAATGAGTTATCAGCCAACACTCCACTATTGTATAATTCATGCATTTGTGTCCCTAATAAGACATCTCTAACAACACTATGGATTTTTTGCATATTTGCCAATGAATGCATTTAAACCAGGGCTCTCCAGCTTTGCTGGCTGAGGACTTCTGGGAGTTGAAGTCCATAAGTCTTAAAGTTGCCACGGTTGGAGTTGGAGATCCCTGCATTAAACAGCCTAGTGCAAATTACATATTCTTGCTTTACTCCCTGCTCATCACTCACCAAATGTACCAATTATTTTCTCATGATCTCCCATCATATGCTGCTCTTATATTTATACAAAAGATTCCATAATTGAAGCTTAATGCTTTTATCCTATGCTTTCTCTAAATCAGCACACATTTTCTTATTAACTTTCCTCAATACTTAATTCTTGGGTTTTGTTTTAAATGGTCTGCATACCTGTTGCTTGGCATAAAGCTAAGCTGTGCTCCCCAAATTTGGCTTTCCCCTTATATCCTTTCAATGCAATTTTTCTCAAACAATTTCCAGGAATTCTTAATCAACTAACTCCTTTTCAATTTTTACACTGACACATTATTTTCCCTTTTTATAAGATAATAATAATGACATTCTTCCAATTGCCAAGCAGAGATGCATCTTCAGACTCATTTTAAGCAGCACAGCCACGCTACAAAGATTTTTCCCCAGTTATACTATCTGCACATGAAGCTTTTACCATTTTTAAAACATTCTCATAGCAGTTGACTTCTTTTCTATCATTTTTTCTTTTCTTTTACTGTTCAATGCAACACTATTAAACTCACATAGATCTGTAACATATGTTTCTAGCACTGTTTCACTTTGATTTCACTCAAATAATTTCACTTTTATTTTTAACTATATTCATTCTGCTGGAGGCTTGTTGCAAAACTTCACTTTCATTATCATTTTAGCAGTCATTCTCATTTCTAACACTAGTTCACAGATAATTTCTAGTCACAATTATAGGTGATCCTTGACTTACAACAGTTCATTTTGTGACTGTTCAAACTTACAACGGCACTGAAAAAAGTGATGGTTCATATTTCTGACTGTTGCTGTGTCCTAGATCATGTGATTCCCTTTTGCAACTTTCTGACCAGCAAAGTCAGTGGGGAAGCCACATTCCCTTAAAATTGGAAATTGGAAAGTTTATTTATAGGCCGCCCTTTTCCCTGAGGGGACTCAGGGCGACTTACAATTCATAGGGAAGGGAATACAAACAATGACACAAGAACAATACATAATTAAAATAGAGCACAACATTCATCATTCGGGTGGGGACGGATTACAATCTTAACCCCCTTAACTTAATCTTAAATTAAGGTAAGGGTTAGGTTTAGGGTTAGGGTTAGGTTTAGGTTTAGGGTTAGGGTTAGGGTTAAGTTTAGGGTTAGCGTTATCGTTACGTTTAGGGTTAGCGTTAGGGTCAGCGTTAGGGTCAGCGTTAGGTTTAGGGTTAGGTTTAGGGTTAGGGTTAGGGTTAAGTTTACAGCGCCCTTCTGTTGGTGCGCTGTTGTCAGCGTGATTCAGCGCTCATTCGTCGGTGAGGTTCAGACCTCGCGGATTTGTCACCGCGGTTTAGTCGGTCGCGCTTTTGTCGGTCGCCCTTTTGTCGGTGAACCCCAAGTAACACCCCCAGTGAAAAAAGTCTCTGAGGTTTGAGTTTCCTCAAAGTTCCATTTTATTAGAGATGTCATATTGGCACATCTGGCAAAATCCAAATCTGAAAGCTTCCAGGTTTTCCCCATCCAAGTAAAAA